AAAAAAAATTAATTAAGAATTTAAAATGCTGTTAGCTTAGGTTACTTTATCACGTTTGTATCGTGGGTAGAGACTTTAAAAATATTCTTATTTGATTCGGCCTATCTATAGCTGAGGATGTCTTGCAAAAGTATAAAAAATCCGATACCACGTACTTCTTTTTCTTATTCAGTATTATCATAAGCTTATTGGAGTTAACTTTACCATTTTTAGCTCAATAATCTCATTGTTTTCTCGAGCCTCTCCACCTTTCACCTCTGCTTTTCGTACAATCTTCGGCACGACAAAAGTTCAATTGGATAAATCTCCGCCTTCAATTTCGACTTTTAAGGTTTGCTATCGCTCCTCTCAACAGTAAGCATTAGCTTAGCCCTGAAACACTATTCGTAATCCAAATGCAATATCATCACTGTGGCTATTAGGCGCACTACAATTCCACTCATTTACAAGAAAAACGTATTTCAAATAGAAATCCGTCGTAAGCGTCGCATCGTCGTAACCTCTTTTAGAATAGTTTTCTAAAAGGAAAATTGGTGTTAGACTCAGTTTGTCCAGAAAAATCTTAATGCCCTACTAATCTTCTAAGATGACGGAGATACTGTAGGGAACAATATCGTGAATCCGTCTAAAATCCTTTGATAGGAGCGGTTATATAACAGTCTCATGCAAAGTTGATAAAAGTTTCGAAGTTGACTTTTTATCATATCTACCGCATACATTAGATTTGTAGTGTGGCACACCTTAAGATTCGTCTGGAATAAGTCTAACACCGCTTTTACTTTTAAGTTTCTATTTTGAAAGAAATGATGACGATGCGACCTTTGCGACGGATTTTCAAGTGGAATCCCGTCTTTTTTGCAGAAGTTGTGAGCGGGATTGTATGCATTTGCTATTACATGGAAAAAAATGCTGCTATGCTATTTTTCAGTGTGCAGGGATAAACCTTTAAGGTTCTTTTGTCTAAAATGAAACAATTTCTTCTCATCTTGCTTGATATAAAACCTCCCTAATCTTGATGTTATAATAATGCTAAAACAACAGTTTTCTTCAGCTTATGACCCATAATTTAAGAATCTTTAAAGCTGTTTTTGTTCTTTGTTCATCTTATCACTTTTGAACAAGTTCTGCTGCAGAGAATATCCAGGCCAGGATTAGCATGTGCAAGATGACAAAGCCTAGCAAACATTTAGTTGGCAGCACAGTCTACAGTCAGTATGCATTAAGTTTATATAAGTAATATCTCCTTCCTAGCAGAAAATAACTGCTGGACTCATAAAATCCTTTATTTGCATTTCCTAGTCGTTCGATGCTGAAAAGAAGAACTCTTAATTAGAACAAATTTTATTAATGCAAATACCGTGTGCTTTAAACTCTTAGTCGTACATTCGAGAATTCTAAATCCTACATAAATTTCGATGATTTTATGGATTTCTCGTAAAAGGAGTCTTTAATAGAATAATTAAGATCAAGACTTGAGACCATTTTGAGCAAATAGGAATTTTTGGATAAGAGTTATGAAAATCCACAAAACGGCGCAGAAAACTCGGGAAGAAACACGACGTAATAAAATGCTTTGAAAGCGGTCATATTAGCTCATGTTTATTCAGAGATGGATAGGCTACTATGCTGCTTTGTTAGGTTGTGAATGTGTTGATACCATCGAGAAACAACGAAGGCTACCCATATTTTCGCACCTGTTCGTCACCTATAAATGATGAGCCTAAAAAACAACCTATACTACTCGCTCATAATGCTAATAATCTACTGCATAATTCTCATCCATTCAGTCTATGCTAAGGAGGATTGTGATAGGTCAACCAGAGAAGAGCGATGCAGAGAAATCTTTAAGCAAATCGAAGACTGTAGCCAGGAATCATACAAAACACAGTTAATGGTGAGTGAAAAATGTGGTTTATCCCAAAAATTTACATACTGTGTCCCACATTTAGGATTGCTTAGTAACTTGTGGGAAATGTGGAGCATTCTCTTGTAATAATCCACAACCGGACACAATGCTAAACTGTACTGCTTTGGCCCCTCAGTGTGAATCAACACTTTGGCGCAACTTTATGAAGGTATGAAAGGAAGTTCACCTCAAAACTTTGTTCTTTTCAATTTCCTCTCTTTCTCACGAAGGGTCTTGCAGGACAAATGTCCAGCCACTTGTGGGAAATGTGATTTAAAGAATGCAAATCTGTGCAAAGATGCTAGTAATAGTGTCATATGCTCAAACATGCAGGTAAGTTCCAATTGGCTATTAACTCACCCTAAGTAAACACTGCAATCTTTATAAAACTACTATTTAGCAATTTTGTAACTCTGTGGATTATTACGATCAGATGACATACGCATGCGCATCGACTTGCAATCGTTGCTCCGCTGCTGCTGGTGGAGATAAGCAAACTAGTGAGTTGTTATCAAACATAGCACCAATCAGGTCATGCTAATAGTAAAATTATGCTATCATAAGGGATAAACCAAGGTGATTCTAGCGTAGTCCCAAGCTCGACAGATTCGCAGTTTCTTCAGTAAGGTCGCTGAGAGGCTGTTCGAATGTTATCATAATCTATGTTATGAACAACTGAACAATATTGTATCTCAAAATTCCACCGATATCCCACACAAAAGATAAAACAGCACTGATAAAAAATTTTTCTAACATATTCTAAGGTTTTGCAATAAAATATAATAGGAGAGGGTAGGTCCCAATTTTAGACATTATCACCCATATATAATGATTTTTTAATCGAATTTATAGTAATAATTCTTACCTTATTGGGAAAGTGTGAAAAATGACCCATTCCCGAAATCGCCTTGGAGAAACCTAGACTGAATCATTGACTGGTCTGTCGCCATGGGAGGGCTATCAAACTCTTACTCTTGCATTACACGCAAATTTTTATATGGGCAACAATATGCCTTACAGCCACCGCTCCCTATCTGACCCAGAGGAATCCCCACAATAAGTCCCTTCGATTATGTCTCCTTTTGATTTCATCCCACTATTATATGAACTGTCAAGTTAAATGGTTATAAATATAATTGACTCAAATGCAGACCAAAATTCATAGAAGTGAGATTTAAGCATTGGATCAAATAAAAAGGCCGTCACTTACTCAGTGACATCAGCTTCGGGAATACGGAATACGTAGCCCCAATAAGCATGGCATACGGGAAGCGAGCATCATAATCAGAGATGTCGCTAGTCATCATTGCTTAGGAGACTTAACATGGTCCGCAATATCTCTGATGATTGATTTTGGGTCATACAGCACTGGGAATATTCTAAGAATCTTCTCGCAACGCTTAACAAAAGAAAATTGATCCATTGTTTTGCAGCTACCACCGTTTGCACTGATTTCGCAAGGGATTGTGCGTCAAGAACGGCTTTATGTAACAATCCGCAATATGAGGGTCTAATGCATCGAGTTTGCGCAAAAACTTGCAACAAATGCGATGGATGCTATGATTATAGCAGCAGGTAAATTACTATCCTGACCTTGTGTCCATATTGAATTGCTCTGATTTAGATGCCAAACATGGGCTTCTCATGGCTTTTGCAAGAATAAGGACCAAAATATGAAAATGAAGTACTGTGCAAAAACATGCATGCTTTGTTGAACTGTCAGTCAGTATTTTGTAATTTATTGTTCATAACATTGCAGATAAATGAGTTCTTCATTTAATGTTTTTAATATACTTTTTGATGTTCGTTCTGCTGTGTATATGATTGGATACACTGAATATGCCTGCCCTATTTGCGAATTCCAGCGAACCATCATTTTTGCACATTCACATTATATTCACATTGTTCAATGACATCTCGACGTGATGGTCCGCATGTTGATAGCTTAACTTTTCTCTAAGGTAAGGAAGTCGAAACCATCACATGCAAGAAACCAAAGCTTTGATACATCAAATCAAGTGAAATTACCAACACACAGCATTTCACATATAAATCTACTTTTATTTTAGCATTGCGGGCGACAGAGTTGTTATGAAGATTTAGTGGTAATTTCACGATAATCAGTGGACGAAACAAAACCCAATATTTATAAGAAATCTAGAAGCAATTTGAATTGCTTCTAGATTTCTTATAATTTTCCTTTGAAAAACTCCCTGTTCTACTCTATGGATCCGCTTACATAACAACTGCTTGAAAGCCCGCTCTTTTCATTGATTACTCCTGCATCATTGAAATCCTCACAACTCATTCAGCGTAATTTTCTAGGAAACCTCATTTACTAAAAGTGTATAGGGATATTTTAAGGGAAATCAAATTTTACTGCGCGCACTGTCTTAATTATTTTATCTTTCAACCTCTAACATAATAGCCCCTTGAGCTTTTTAAGTGGACCGAAGAAGAATGTATACCACATTT